CGGTAGGGAAATATTTGGCTGTCCTGCTCGTAAGAGCATGAAGCAATCTTGACTACCAGTGTAAACTTACTGAGGGACCAATAGCAAAGTGCTGTGTTTAAGCTAAGGCAGCAGGGTTACCTCAGGAGTCACAGCTTTCTATTTTTGGTATCTTTAGTATCAACTGTCCTTAAGCTCTGTGGCCACACTGTGTGCCTGGCAAACTAGCCCTGCCTGGCAGCTGAGGGCTTCTTTGTAAATACATGCTTCAGTTTGGACCACAGTCCACCAGCTGGCCAGTGGTGGAGAGACTCTTAAGGTACCAAGGACCACACAAAATTCCTAGACTCCATCTGATCCTCCTTTCTTACCGCAATTCTTGCTGCCTTAGGTGTTTTCTGTCTGTAAAGCTATTGGGATACACTACGCTTAGGTTCCCCCACTGGGTCAGCAGTTACACCACAGAGCTGCTTGATTAGTGTGTGTCTGCAGCAAGAACAGGCTTCAAACTCTGTTCTGCTGCCTGACCCACCGTCCTCTGTAGTGCAAGGCCCTTCAGATCCTGTCGTGTTGCACTGAAGCTCGGCCTGAGCAGTCCTGGACGAAAACAGAGCAGGCTGTGCTGAGCTCTGCAGAGGCCTCAGCATTGAGATCAAAGTGGCAGGAATCCTCAGCCGAGCGACTCTGAACATGCGTGGATGTGGAGCAGAGTGTGAACCCTTCTCCCTTAGCGAAGGCTAACGGTGTCCAGTATTGCAAGTGATGTCCTCTCATCTACTGTTCCTTCATAGTGACCATGATGATGAAGTTGCAAGTTTGGCTTCTGCGTCAGGTGGATTTGGTGCCAAAGCGTCTACGCAGCGGCTGCCTGTGAAGGACTGGAAAGCCAAGGCATCCCCGCGGGCTTCCCCAAAACTAAAACGGAAGGGCAAGAAAGATGACGGGTATGCTGGACGTGCTAGGATTCAGGTGGCTGTGGGATCAGCTATGCAGAGCCACAACCTGACATAGCCATTAGCAACAAGACTAGGGTTGAAGGCCCTGCTGTGGACAAGTGTTCCCAGCTTTGCCCCATTTGCAAGTGACAGTAACCCCACAGAAAGCATTGCGGACTACTCAGACGCTGGCTGTTACTTAGGGGTGTAGGAGTAGGATCTGTCCTGCCTTTCCAGCTAAGACTTGGTCCAAAATATAGACAAATCTGTTTAAGGTAAATGAATGTTGCACATTGTTGGGGGACACTGGATCTGTTTGCCTGAATGAAGATTTCATTGAAACTAAACACACTGTGAATGTAGCTAAACATGGCCTTGATTTCTGGTCGGCTTCTGCTGACAAACAGCTGTAAATGCCTTGTAATGGAAACCTGATGACTGGAAAGATCTGCCTGTGGCATATTTGATCAACCTATCTGCATTAACTTGTGAGAAGCAGCATAGCTGCTGCAGATGGCCTCTTTGTGGGTGTTTTTTTGTTTTTGTTTTTCCTCAAGGAAGATGGATTTGCACATGAAGTTTCTGTTGTGGCCTTTTGGTAACACCAAGAGGTTCTCAGCCTCAGTAATGACCATCTCTTTTTTTTTTTTTTTTTTTTTTTTTTTCCCTACCTCAGTCCTTTCTAAGAAGCTTAACACTTGCAGCCTGTGAACTACAAATGTGCACTTCTGATAGTGCTTGATAGCTCATAGATTGTTCATAGGTGACTGATGGATTCACACAGCTCTCCCAGTGTTGCTGGATCATTGGCTTTCTGTTTTCTGTTTATGCTAGAAGGCATCATGAGTTTCTTCATCTTGAGAGCTGGAGTCATTTTAGATGAGTTGAAGTTCATGAACTCAAATGAACTTTGTTTAATATAAACAAAGGAGTACTATAAATAGTAGTATATTATAGTAGGAGTATTAGTATAAACAAAGGAGTTTTTCTTTGTAAAATATCAGGAAAAAAATCAAAAGTGCAAATGTATTTCCTGGTTTTGAATTTGGACAAGTCTGAAAAATCAATGTGCACTTTGTATCAGTCTTCATTAAGGCTTGGCAAAAGTCTTCGGTTTGCGAGCATCCCTGTGAAGGGACAAGTTTGTGAAGCCCGTGAATAGTGGAAGTGATGGAATCAGTACTGTAGAGACTGGGCTTATATCACCTCCTGTTGCTCTCAGTTTATACTAGGCAAAACAGATGCATGAGCTGAAGTATGTAATTTAAAACATTCTATATAGTGTGTGGTCTGTTTTGGCAGAGAACTTGGATAATCAGAGCAAGAAACTGATGTAATTACATTACTGCTTTTTCTTTTATTTATCATTATCTCTAGGGATCTGAACCAGTCACCTAGATCATCTAACAACCAGGTGAGTCACAGAACTAATGCAAGGCCCTTCCCAAGGGCCTGATGCTCCAACTCTGTTTATCGGCTCACTAAAGACCTGAAGGAAAGGCCATCCTGGCTCCTTCGCTACCCAGGGCACCCACTGTGCCTGGGCAGGGTAAAATGGGTCTGTGCTTCAGCACTTGCACCTCCTTGAAGAGTTTCTTGGCATTGCTTAGTTCTGTGACCTGTACAGCCAAGGAGGGGCTGCTCAGTGTCATCCAGAACGTCTTCCTCCTTACTTCCACGTGCAAATTTGCGTTTCTGTGTCCTTATGAGCTCTAGCTTGTCTGAAACTCCACCACTCATTTCTTCTTCCCTGCTGAGATTACCTATATGCAGAGGGACAAGCTGTTTCCAGCACAGTAAGGATCAGAATGGAACCAACCTCCTGGAATTTTTTATCCTTGCTGATAACACCTTTGTATTGGGCAGGAAATGCCAAAGAAAATGCAAAAAAAAAAAGGAAGCTGAGTTACATCCACTCTTTGCACTCTTTGTATTGACATTGGATGCTTATGCCACCTTTAAATATTTGAGCAGATGAATAGACCCTGTGAACTACTCCAGTAGTTTGGTTGTTCATAAACATGCAAGAGAACTGAGAAAAGCGCTCTAGGGAAGCTCCTTCTTACTCCACTATTTGCACAACTATTTGGAACTGCTTGAGGCACCTGTTCAGGACATCAGAGTCCTAAATTCTCTTTCTCAGTATGTGGCTGAAGGTAAAAAGGATCTGGTTTGTCCTATTCCCATTCAGATGCCAGAGCTTTGAAGGGAGTCCTGAATCTAAACAGTTTATGATATTCTGAGTAGTCTTTTGTGAATACCATGTGGGAGGTTCATGTACCCTGCATTATTAGTTTATTTCCTGCGGCAAAATTCTTAGAAATGGGCATTAAGTTAACCTCATTTTCTGCTTTGTTTGTGCCATGGACACTTGGGGTAACTCAGTACCTAGCAGAAATCTTGACTTGATTGACCTCTGATCTTTTTACAGTTGAGTACCTGTCTTCTCCACCCTCAGGTGACACCCGAGTTCCAGGATGAGCTGATGTGCATATTGAGGAACCAGCAGCGGGAGCTCTGTGAGCTGCGTCAGAACCAGATGGAGCTGTTGCAGAGACTCACAGATCACCTGGATGCCATTCAGAGCTCCCTCATGGGTCACGTGGAGAGGGTGATTGACTCCCAGCAGGAACAGGAGCGTATCCTTTCTAGTAGATTTGCTGTGGCTGTGCATCACACAAGCCAGCTGTTTTGTACTTACTTTTCAGAGCCGTTGCTCCCTTTCCTCCAGACCTTTAAAATATGTTTATTATCACTGGGGTGTTTGCAAGTGTTACATAAGAATTAAGCTGCAAGATGAATGAGATGTGAGAAATGCTAAAAATCAAAGATTTCTAGTAGCGTGAGATGCAGGTTTGTTAGAAGAAAGCCTGGCTGCAGTGCATCTAATTCAGTCACTGACTGATCTCTGTCTCTCTTCAAAGGTAAGAAAGTCAGAAATAGGACTAAAGCAGAAGAACTGCTCCATTGTCTGTGCTGCTAAAACCTTCCAGTTTCCCGTTAAAACCTCTAGTACTAAAGCAGACTGAAGGTGCATCTGCTACATTATTCTCTTTTAGGCATTGGCTAGTTGGAGAAGTGTGTTTATCAGGGATCCTGTTCTCCTTTCCTTCAAAATAGAAATTGTACCTAACCACCATACTTCATATGTACTTCTAGTCGATTTGTGGTCCACAGATCCCTTATGTGTTCTCTGAAAAATGCTTTCTTTTTTTTTTTTGACCCTGCTATGTCTTCATTCCTGGTTATTCTACTGCAAGTAATCAGTTCTTGTATGTCTGTTGCTGCTGTGAGTTTTGTCACATCCCACCCTGCTGTTGAGGGGACACTAGCCTATTTCATGTCTGATGATCCATATTACTCTGCTCTGTACCTTTTCTAGTCTTATATAAAAAACAGAGGAACTATTAACACATGTAAGATGTGACTGTGTATACTTTTTATTTGTTCCTCCCATCCCTTTCTTAATTCACTAGAAGATCTAACCTCTTAATTCTGGGACAGCTATTTTTTTAACACCCTTTGGTAGGGAATCTAGAGAAAAAAAAAAAGGAGGGGGAGTGTTTGTTTTTTGCTTGTTTATTTTTTATACATGCATCTTTATCTGTGGGTCGGACCCTTTGGAGAATACGGTTGCTCCATGATATATGGCTAACCTTTAAGAAGGCCATATTCACTCCTGCATAGTATATCATATGTGTCCGTGCATCCCAAAGAAAAGTTCTTATCTATTCTTTAATGGATATTAGATTTCGTGGTTTCTGTAGGAAGCACTGCTGCACAGTTTATCTTAACTGTTTGGCTTTTCTATTACAGCCTTATTTTCCTCCAGAACTGTTTTCTCAGCCTGGTCATTTGTTTGACAGACTCTTGTTATTTAGTCAGTTGTGTTCCAGACCCAGCTCTCACCAGTGCTGCAGATTTGCTGTCACTGAGCCTCTGAAGCTGAGGCTAGTGTCTGTTTTTGTAGGATGGGAGTGTTGCTGGCAGAGGAATTCTATTGTTTGTGCTCCTTAATATGTGTGCTTACTAGAGAGGAGACTAGACAGAGCACTAACAGAAGGGCAGCAGCGCAATGGACAACTCCAGGAGCATCTTTCTCAGCAGCTCTCTCAGTCACTCTCCACCGCAGTGTGTAACCGTCTGGAGAGAACCATTCGTGAGGAGATGAAGAAGACTGTACCCCAGTGTAAGTTTTGCTTTCTGGATTTTGAAGGTGGATCTCCACGTTTAGCCTAGCAGAGATTGAAAACATGCTGGAAGAAATGCTAGCACTGTATGAAATAGGAGTTGTTACAGGAAGACTACTTTGTGCTCCTTGAGTTGTTGTGGGCCCCCAGTGGAGTCTGAGAAGCGTGTGGGAATGGAAGGAATATGAGGCTTCTAGAGGTGTAACTTTGGGAAACACATTTCTAGAAAGTGCGGCATGACCTTTTGTTATAAACCACAAAGGTTTTGGATGCCTGCCTTCCTTTCTGTGACTGAAGGCACAAGGAGGCCAGAGAGTTTGGAAGTGCTGAGACTTGACTGAAGCAAGACTAAACTTGCGTTTGCCCTTCCTTGACATACAAGCTCCTACCATGTAAGGAAGAGTTTCTAGAAATACTGTTGGGAAAGGCCTCTGGAGTCTTTTAGAGTCCACCCTTCTGCTTGAAGTAGGTCTACCCACAATCCTAGATAGGTCAGCTGCAACTTTGGACAAGTCTTGAAGAGTTTCAAGAGTGGAGATCATCTAACCTCTCCGGAGACTTCCAGGACTGTACCACCTTCTTGGCAAAAATGTTTCATCTCATGGCAGAAGAATGTTTCTTCTCATGCTCCTTTCCAACCCCAAATATTCTGTGTTTCTGTAATGTCCAATCTTAGCCTCCCAAACCAGAGCATGTGACCATTTCTCTTTGCTGTACCATCTGTTGCCTTCAGGAAGAATTTGATTCTGTCATCCTTCATGGGTTTTGAAGTTTGCCTCTAGGCTTAAAACTTCAACTTTAACCTATTTGTGCCTAGGCATTTCCAAGAGCATGGAACCTATTGCTGGCCCGATAAGTAACACTATTGCCACGAAGCTCACTGCCATTGAGGGCACGCTGAAGGAGAACATCACCAAGCTAGTGAAATCGAAGGTAAGGAGAACTAGACTGTGACTTTCTCTGAGGGCACTGAGTTGTCCTCTCTCTGCCTAATGACTTCTCATACTTCTTCTCACCTGGAGAGACAGGTGAGAAGAAGTATGATATCTCTTTAGCTGCTAGTGATCAAACAAGCTCTTTTCTGGCCTCCTGAGGAGAGTAGGAGAGTTGGGTACTCTCCTCTCTCTTTTTGCCTAATTAGCCCTTTCTTTAACTTACTAATTTGTTCATTTTCTACTGACTTTTCATTTTCTACTGGAGTAGAGTTTCTCACTACTCATAGTAGCACTGGAGTACAGTTCTTTCATTACTGGTTTTTAAGCCTCAGTCACTCAGTGGTGAAAGTTTGACTTGCTCTTCAGCTCTTCACTGTGTTCTCCATTTCTCCTTTACTTCAGAAAGCAGGAGCTTGCTTATCTTGGCAAAGGGAGTAATGGATTCTTGGTGAGAAGCTGGGGAAGAGGAAAGTACCTTAGCCTGGCTGTGCTGCCTTCCCTGAGCTACAGGGAAGCTATGATGTTCTTGGGCAACCTGTGAGCAGGCAGACTATCTGCCTGCCATACTTGTGGTGCAGCTTGGCCAATGGAAAGATTTCAGCTGCTTGGGGAACACACGTGTTTGCATGTACAGTGTTCCTTCACATCTTTGTCCTGCAGCAGAACCTTGTTAATTTTCTGGAGCTTCTTCTGTGTGTGCTTGTAAGAACCTTACAGATACCGTTGTGAAGGCAACGGCTGATACGCTGCAAGGACCGATCCAGTCAGCGTACAGGGAAGCATTCCAGAGTGTTGTGTTGCCAGCCTTTGAGAAGAGCTGCCAGTCCATGTTCCAGCAAATCAATGAAACCTTCAAGCAGGGCACACAGGAATGTGAGTGGCTTTCCTTTCTGCTTTTTCTCTCCACAGTATATTTGTATATTTGCCAGCTGATAGGATGGTCTTTGCTTGATGCCTTTGCCTTTGAGTTTCGTTAGTAGCTATTTAAACTTTCAGTGCTTCTGCTGCATGGTCTGAAAACATACTCCGTTTCATGTTTCAGAAACAAAAGGAGAGAGGAGAACTTTGTAGGTGTTCATATACGAACAGGGATGCACCTTTGCTCTTTAGCCTGTACAGCAAAATACTTTTATTGCTTCTGTGAATCTGTGTGTTTGAGTATTGAAGCGCAGTTGTAGATCTGTTCCATCCTGACATCAAGAGAATAAAGTGCAGAGAGGATAGCACTCATACAGATGGTCCATCCTCTCAGAGACATAATAGAACTAGAGAAGGTTTCTTGCTGGCACAGGGACTTTTGTCCCTAGATCTGCAGAGTGTGTCCAGCTACTGTTTATTTTGTACCCCCATCCCCACAGGTCTCCTGCAGCTGCTACAAGTAGCTAGAATTTTATTTTTGATCAGGCGAGTTCGTAGAATATTTTAAAATACAACTTTTTGATCTCTGCAGACACACCACTTCTTGTCAGAAATGAACCTCTTCTTTTTTTTTTTAATTGGCATTCAATTCATCATTAATGCAAAACATAGCACACAGTATGCATGAAATACTCTCATCCTCATCTTAATCTTGCCCTGAACAAACAGACAGTAAACGTTCTGTTACAAAAGAACCATTGGCCTTACTGATGTGTCATATAAGGCTTGTGCATCCTGCTCCCCGCTCTCCTGCCCTTGAACACTTGCTGTGTAATTGATGCTGCTGGAGAATGTGTAGAGCTTGGCAGCTGGATCTGTGCCCTGACCATCTCCACAGCACCGATGGCATGAGCGTCTTCCTGGGAAGCTCTTTGGTTGTTGCAGATATCCAGCAGCTTGAGACTCACATGAAGAACAAGAAAGCACGAGAACAGGAAGCCCGGGACCCGCTGGTGAACCAGCTTCGCCAGCTCATCAGCACGGAGCAGCTGGCTTCCTCCTTTGCAGCCAGTGTCCATGCCGAGGTGCAGCGTCAGCTGCATGTTATTGTGGGCAAGTAAGTTGGCAACTGGGCTTGTCGAAAGAGATGTCAGAGTGCATGACGAAACTATTCCCTGCTGATCTGTGGCAGCCAGCCCTTTACCGCAGTTACTATAGGGCTGTTACCTTCTTAGCATGGTACGACCGAAAAAGTGTGGGCCGGTGTCCTATGAGGTACAAAAGTAAGGTTAGAAAATACTTCTCATGACCAGCTGAGAGTCTGCTGTGCGTGGGAGCTTTGGCTCTGCTTTTCACCTGATGGTACCATGAGCATTTGGGGAGAATGAGGAGACTTAATGCAGACCAAAAGCACACTCGAGTCTGCCTAGCCTCCCTGTTCCAAAATGATCTTTGAGTCTCTTCTGGATTTTTTTCCTGTTTACTGTGTGTCCTTGTGCACACAATTTCTGTAGGCTATTCTGCCGTTTTACCTGTTCTGCAGTAATTTGATCTTGGCTCTCTTGGTTTGGGGACAGAATCCCAGCCGTATCTTCAGCACATTGGTGCCCTGAAGCTGGTGGCTGGCTGCAATAGGGTCTAACGCTGCAAAGATTTGATCTTTTGTACTCTTTGTGAGAGGGGAGGATCCTGTCGTGGAGAAGCCTGCAGAGGCAGAGCCTATACTCCAAGTTAGCCATCTGCGGAGGGGTTACAGGCTCAGGGAGGGAAGCTGTTCTTCTTTCGAAGGTGTCATGTGCAGACTGGGAGGCTGCATGCAGTTGATGTAGAAATTTGTGTCTATTCAGGGCTGCATGGAGAGCCTTGGGGCATTGTTTGGAAGCTAGATTCAGTGAAGATTTAGAAATAGCTCATTTTTCTCACAAAGAACCCCAGCACTGTCAGTGTATTCCCTTGGGACTTGTGCCATTGACCACAGAGCTTCTCTGTGCAGCAATTTGTATGAACCCCTTGGAACAAGACTTTCTCACTGATGAAAGCTTTGAGCCATGTAGTCCCTTCATTTTCAAAGATGCTTTGGCTTATTTTGTTTTGTTTTGTTGTTTATTTTTAGCATGCAGGAGTCTATTTTGGCCCAGGTGCAGAGAGTCATTAAGGGAGAAGTGAGCCTGGCCATGAAAGAGCAGCAGGCAGCTGTCACCTCGAGCATCGTCCAGGCGATGCGCTCTGCAGCAGGGACTCCAATCCCTTCTACTCATCTGGACTTCCAGTCTCAGCAAACACACATCCTTCAGCTGCTGCAGCAGGGCCACCTCAATCAAGCTTTCCAGCAGGTACACAGGCTTCCTTGCAGAAACCCTCACTGCTTTGCTGGGCAATGCACTGGGGCTCCCTGAGATGTGGGCACAGTCCCACAGCAGCTCAGGCAGAAGTAGGCTGAAAAGGCCTCTAGCAGCAGACTGTTCCAGGGCTGCTGTTACACTTTCATGCAGCTCGGTCATGCAAGTTCCATGATATGATGGTTAGATTCCTTCAGAGTAAGTCAGCTTGTTTTGCCATCCACAGTGGCACATGGCACACCCCTAAAGTGCAAGGCCTGATCCTGTCTTTCCCCCTCAACTCATTTGAGCGTTACAAAAAAACTTTACTGCTAAGAGGTAGTGATGCTGTGTGAATTAAGTGTCAGGGAAGGCAAGCATGGCCCATGCTAACTGTATCCTCATCCTGTGTCTGGTTGTGATTTGCTGCCTCCCTTCAGCTTAGAGAGCTGTTGTTGGATTGACAGCCCAAACACTGTCCTGCTCTAATGTGTAGCATGGGTTGCTCCCAGAGGAGTCTGGCCAGCCATTGAGTGGTCCCCAAGTAGGCAGCTGCCTTGCGCCCTGTCCTGGGTCCTTCACCTGTCCATAGTTTCCTCCGCATTTCTAGTTTTATCTTCCTTGCAGGCTCTAACAGCAGCTGATCTCAATCTGGTCCTGTATGTCTGTGAGACTGTGGATCCTCAGCAAGTGTTTGGTCAGCAACCATGTCCACTGTCCCAGCCTGTGCTCCTGTCTCTCATCCAGCAGCTCTCCTCAGACTTGGGTACTCGTACAGAACTGAAACTGAAGTGAGTATGAGCACAGAGCCAAATTTGAACCTATGCAGGGCACATTCCTGGCTCTGGCTTTAAATTAACTACATGTAAGTGGAAGATGGTGCTTCAGCAAAGGTTAGAGCTTGTTTGGCCTGTTACTGGCATCTGAACAAGCGGTTAAGACTTGGAAGGTGATTCAGACATTACCACAGAGAGCTTAGGTTCCAAGCTGTAGATGCTGTTAACTCCTGGTCTCGTAGTCTCTAAATATTGTTTGCAGTCTGTGCAGCTTTACCAGGTAACCAAGGAGCAGTCCCCATGTGGCAGTAGAAGGAGAGGTAGTGCTCTGGCTCCCTGGACAGCATAATATCAAGAGCAGCATTACTCTGCCTTTGATTCTTAACCTATTACTGGACTTTGGCCCTCAGCTTCTCATCATGACTGCAAAGAGGTTCAGTGTGAAGTGCAACAGGAGTTTCTAGAAGTGCCCATTAGATGTTCCACATAAAGCTCGTGTGGTAAAATAGTGACCATGCTCGTACTGCTGTGGACACTTACAGGTTTTAACCCTACTATCTGTCTTGAAAAACTAGGTTGTTGAATTGCCTGAAGATTTGGACCTAGGTTTACATGGGATATGTCTTAAATCTCATTTTTAACTCAGGTTAGCATGGGGGGAAGGCAAGTCAAGCTGGAAAAAAAGCTGGGAAAAGGCTTTAAGTTACAGAAGAGTTAGTAATCAGAGTTAAAGTCACTGCTGAGTTCAAGCTGACCAGTTAGTGAGCATCTCTTGCAGTGGCAATATGGGCTTACTTTCAGGCTGAACTTTCTGCACTGAGGATGGTTAGATGGGGAACAGTTTTGTCACTAGCGCCCAAATGAATGGAATTGAAGTGGGATCAATGTGGAGTTTGGCTCTAAACCTGGTCTCTCTCCTGCAGTTACTTGGAAGAAGCAGTGATGCACCTGGACCAAAGTGACCCCATAACCCGAGACCACATGGGCTCTGTCATGAACCAGGTGCGGCAGAAGCTCTTCCAGTTCCTGCAAGTGGAACCCCACAACACACTGAGCAAACCTGCCCGTCGCCTCATGATTATGCTTCAGGGTCTGGTCACCCCTGGCATGACCTAGGAGAACCTTGCTGTCTTGCGGGCTGCTCCATGGAAGCCTACTCAGCAGCTCCAGTAGTAACTAACCACGTATGGCTTGTGTTAAGAGCTCCTGCCAGGAAATCTATCAACATGTGTGTGATGTCTGTAAGGCAAATGCCATCTGTGTATAGTCCCAAATAATCACTGAACGCTTATTTTCCTGAACAGCCTTGTTTTGAAAGTTAGGTCTCCTCTTCAGCTGCCCATCTATACCGGAGGCCTAGCTGGCAGCCCACGTTGCTTTCAGCAGAAGCCGGGGGCTTTCTTACCCCTTTAGTTTGGAGTCTGTGGCTGGGAGCAGAGGAGAAGGAACATCTGCCTTGAGCCTAAGCAGGGGGGCTGTAGGGCTGTGAGTTCCTTCTTGACGTGGAACTTGTTACCTGTTCTTTGGAAGCCCTCCTCCAAGGGAGCTGCTGCCTTGTAGGAGGGGTAAATGGAAGGATGTCAGCCAAGAGCAGAGTTTTGTCTAACTCTGTCCCAGCTGCTCCTGCACCATGGGGGCAGAAGTGAGCATGGGGCTGTGCAGATTTGTCCTCCTAGTTCAGGAGCAAGCTCAGGAGGTGCCCAGAGTTGGAAGGGTCAGGAAGCAGCAAGCTCCAGGAGCCCTTTCGCGGCTCTTGGTTCTGTTTGTATTGGAGCATGTCTATGAATCTGATGTTTCCTTTAGTTTGGATTTTACACCAGGATTTTTCTTCTTAATCTAAAATTTGATTTTTTTTTTTTGAAATGACATTAAGAAGGATTCAATAAACAACAGACAACTTTTTTTGAGAAAAAAAAACGAAGTGCTGCACTTGCTTTTCTGCACGGGCAGGGAGGCCCCTGGAGCGGGGGCCGTGACCAGCTCTGGGCTGGTGCCTGAGGCGGGGGGAACTGCGGGCTCGCCCTCCGCCCCGGGGCCGGCCCCTCCGCCCCGGGGCCGGCCCTGCTCGCGATGCCTCAGCAATCGCTGCCCACGGGAGTGGC